GGTGGATGTGTGGGCAGTCGCTAAGGGGATGGTGCCCACTGCCTGGCCAGGGGGTTTCCAGCCCAGGACCAGGGATGATGGAGAGGTGTAATTGAAGCTGCACAGGTGGCTTTTCCTTGCACTCCTGCAAGCTGGTTCTGCTGAGAACTGTGACTCTTTGTGTCACTGCAGGAAACAGAAAAAATGCGGATGTCAGGTCTCTGCTTCTTGCCTTCCTGGTGTCCCTCCTTCTCAGGCTGCTTCAAGTCTGCCCCAGGCTGCTGCAGCCCTTCACCTGCAGCTTTGGAGCAGCCTTGGCCCACACACGCCCCGCCCACCTGCTTGGAGCTGCTGGTGCTGGCCGAGAAGCCCCTCTCTGGCTGCCTACTTGCTGGTGCCACCCAGCAACCAAACACGAAAGGCAGCCACTGCAGAGAGTAAGGCCCCGATCCTTGGGCATCTCTCTCCTGGCAGCCTGCTCACTTTTCAGTTCCTCCAACTCCCCCGCTCACACCCCACCCTCTCGCCCCAGTCATCCCATGGTTCTCTTCCTCTGGTCTAACTGACCCCCGCCTTCATCTAACTCCTACTCACCTCCTAGAAGCTTCCAGAGCCACTCTCGCAGGGAAACTTTCCCTAAGCCCTCGCCCACCTCCACTTCCCAACCTCAGTCACAGGCATTCACAACTTCCTGTATTTTCTTTCCATTACTCTTAAGAGAAGTAAAAACTCATATTAAATTTTGTGAAGGCAGTATGGGAATTCCCTCTCTTCCTACCCCAAAGCCTACGTACAAGACCTGAGATCAGGAACGGTCCAGCTCACCACAGCCTCTCCAGAGCATCTGGCAGAAACGGACGTCCACGCCTACAATCTTGGTGACTGACCGAGTGACTGAGTGATTGAGTGAACGCCCAGCTTCCCAGATTCCCCGGAACTGGCTAAGATCGCACCTGCCTCTGTATACTAAGTGAGGATTGGCACACTGCATCCTGGAACCCCTGAGATCCCCTGTAGTCGTCATCCTGATTCTTCACCTTTGATGCCCAAGCCCTTCCTCCTTTTTCCTTGAACGCTTATTGGTTTTCCTTCCCCTCTCCCGGCTGTTGTATGAGTGTGGGGAAAATGTCCTTTTTGAAAATCAATTAAGAATGTTTCTTCCATTGTATTCTAAATGCCTGTGCACCCACAAGGATCAAACATATAAATATATGTCCTCTTAAATATGTGTGCAAATGTTTCCACCTTGACAGGCTATGGATGAATGAATACCTTGTGAATTGACCTTAGCCACTGTTGTGATGATTATCCCCAGGGCACCTCATCGTGGCTAGATGCAGTGTGCCAATCCACACTCAGCAAAGAGAGGAAAACACCATCTCAGCCGGGACTGGGCAATCCTGGAAGCCAGGCACTTGCCCATTCATTCACTCGGTCACCAAGATTCTGGGTATGGAGCATCCTTAGCTATGGCCATCAGGTGTTTCCGTCTGTGGTCTGTGATGAGCTCAGCACAGTGCCAGGAGCCCTGTGCACTGACAGTGCATGTGTGCTGCTGCTGGTATCCACAGGATGCGAGCCTGGCTGGCTCCTGCTGGATCATATCCCCAGTGCCAGAAGCTCAGCATTGAGCTTGGAGGCAAACCAGTCATGCAGAGACCTGGTGGAAGAGTGTTCTGGGCTGATGTGCAGCAGGGGAAAGGTCCTGCAGTGGCTGCATTCTAGAAAGGTCAGAAAACAACGTGGCTGGAAGGAAATCAGTCAGGGAGGAGTGGGGGCCAGGCTGGTCAAGCCACACAAAGGAGATTAAGTTTTGCTCTAAGCAATTAGAGGTTTCTAAATAAGAGAGCAACATGATTGATTTCCATGTCTGAAATAGCATTCTGACTAGGATCTGGAGGAAGGATTGGAAGAGGAAGGGGCAAGAATGGATGTGAAGAGACCAATTACAGTTCAGGTGGCCTTGCACAAGTCATTAGATCTCAGTTTCCTCATGTATAAAATGGGGATAAGAGAGGACATGCCTGAGGCTTCTGCAAGTTCTTGATAGAATGAATCAGTGCACCCAACAGACCATAGGTGTCCTTCCTCCATGGCTCACCATTTCTCTCCTTTCCAGGCAAGGAACTCCCCACATAATTCTCACGAGTTCCATTCCTCTTTTGTAACAGACTTCGATGGTTTTGGCAATTAAAATTCTGAGACATTATTAATTAGCTGCTTGAGCTGTTCAGAGACACTCCCTGACAATTATAAGGACATGTCATATAGAAGAGGCTCATGTCATGGCAACATATTTAGGGTTTCCTGTTGCTGAGAGCTCACTTTCTTTGAAGATGTGGCCTGCGGCCCCCAAGACAGCAGGCTATCAGCAGGAAAGACACCATATCTCAATAATAAGACTGCTGCTGTCCACCTTGAGCAGCTGTGGGTGCCTGGGAGGGTGGGTGGCCATAAAAGCCCATTGTTCTCTGGAAGAACTCCCTGCCATTCAGCAGGGCAAACCCACCAGGGAGTGTCTGCCTGCCTGGACCCTGCAGAGCAGCCACTCCAGTGCAACAGCTGCTCTGCCACAGCCCCGTTCTCGTTCTCGGTTCTCGTTTCTAGACAATTGTAAACAATTTTTGGAGCAGGGGCTCCTTCTCTTCAGACTCTTTGAATGTATTTTATGGAAATTTGGATGATTGGTTAAAAAGTAGGTTGCTATTTTCCTTTTTCTTCTTAATGTAGACAGTTAAAGTATAATTGTCAAAAAGGTAAAATTATGCCGGGTCTGATGACATGCCACACCCAGCGACTTGAGAGGCTGAAGTAGGAGGTTCACGAGTTCAAAGGTGGCCCCAGCAACTTGGGGGAGGCCAGAAGCAACTTAGCAAGATCCTGTCTCAAAATATATTAAAAAAAAGGCTGGGGATGGGGTTAGTGGTTAAGCACCCCTGAGTTCAATCCTGGTACAAAAAAAAAAAAAAAGGTAAAATCATGACCCTCTTGCAAATAGAAAATGAACTTGTGCTAAAGATTTTAATCAACTGACTAATTAATGAGGGAACCATTAAGATATTAAGACCAGGTTGTACATCCTTGAGGAGTTAAGTATTCATAGGTAATTTAATTAAGGATATTAGAATTTGATTGCAGAGCTATTTATAAAACTAAAGTCCTACAAGGTAAGAAAATGTAGCCTTTCAGATCATCTTTCCTTATGGGACAGAAATCATTTGCCTCTTTAACTGAAATCTACAAAGTAGCATGTAGCTGGACGACTCTGGACCTTTAGTCATAGATTCTGAACTCTGCTCCCTTACATGCATCCTCTCGGCTCCCCTCATGAGAGGAGCACCTCATTCATGGGAAACCACTCACAACACACTCAGGGCAGGGACTCGGTGTGCATGCTCCCTGGGCCTGGGGGCTGGTCTCTGGTTTCTGGATGTCTTGATGTTCGTTGTTACTGAAAGTCACCCCGGAGGGTGGGCAGAGAGTGGGTCAAAGAAAGCTTCCTTCTCCCCTGCTCCAGGGGCTCTTCTGTTGGTGCTGTGGCTTTTGACCTCCTAAAGTCCTGAAGCTGGGGCATCACATCCCTCAGCCCTGTCCACCCATCAACTTGACAAGTTGCTGATGAACACCTCCTAGGTGCCGAACCCTGGGGGTGCAGCTGGAAACAAGGCAGGTGCAGAACTGCTGGCCTGGAGCTCATGTCCAGGAGTGCAGGCACTAAAGAAGATGGCACACTCAAGTGAGTTAGATACAAATGTGATAAGTACAGACAGGGGAAGATAGTGTGCAAAAAAAAAAAGGGGTTGGGAGAGAACTATCGGAAACCTAATAGTTTGGGGGAAGGTGTGAGAGAATCCATTTTCTGAGGAAGTGACATTTAGAAGGATGTGTGGGATTTCACTGAGTGACTGCAATAGAGGAACAGCATGTGTGAAGGACTCAGACCCTCAGGAAGAGTGGTGCTCATGGATGATCAGTGAGGAATCGAGACCCGGGAGGCTGGAAGTGTGCGCAGGCGCGAGCTCATACAGGTCTCGAAGGCTTGCAGACTTTTGGTTTTCATCCAAAGGGCACTGGGGAGCCACTGAAGAGTGGTAGAGATTTGTGTTTCTGAAAACCCACACTCTGGGAAGGGGCCCTATGTAGTGAATATTCAATAGATGTTTGTTGAGGTGTGGAGGGACACACGCTGACATGGAGAAGGGCAGTCAGTGTCTGGTGGCTCTAACTCAGTTCCCTGCTTTTCAGTTTAATCTTCTAGACCCTCTGGCCTCGGATAAGTGAAAAAGTTCTATCGTCCCTCTGTTAAAGATTTCTGGTCTACCAAGGAACAGGAGGAAATTTCCACAGTAGGAATGGCCTCTCACAATGCGTGTGTCCAGGGCGCTTTAGGAAGTTCTAGCTTTTTGTAAAAATGAGTTAAAGGGGAGCACCTTTAACTGGGAGGCCAGGGAGGCCACCCCTTCTGATTGCACAGAAGCTGCCCACTCATAGGAAGCTTCACGCACCGCTGCACCGAGCCTTCCATCTTCTTCAGTGTGGTCAGTCTTGGACAGCTGGCCAATCCCAGGCTGCGGAGGGTAGGAGTGACAAGAGAGTGGGGGTCTGGACCAAGCACACAACTCCTGAGTCATAGTGGGCTGCAGCAGATTTGGCAGTTTGAGTCTGTTTCCCAGACAGGTTAAGACACTCTCCAAATCTCCAAATTTCCTTGGCAATTTCAAACAAAGAGCTGATGCCCAGGTAGCCTGGGATGCAAGGCCAGAGCTTCTACAAATTTAAAAAGGGCCATGAGGTTGCATTAGGGCTACTTGGCCTGGTCTCAGGGTACACAAAACCTCCCCTGAGAGCATGGCATTTCACCTGAGACCTCAGGGATACAAAGACATAGGCTAGGCAAAGAACAGGAGCAGTAGCCTCTGGGGAGGAAGAAATGGGAGAAACTGAGCGTGCACCAGGTTCCTGTGGTGTTGGAGTAGCTGGCAATCGTAATAACAGTGGATTCTTTCTTTCTACTCCTCCAGACACTGTTGGCCAGGGCTCTTTATGACAACCATCCTGACTGCTCCGATGAGCTGGCCTTCTCCAGAGGAGACATCCTGACCATTCTGGAGCAAAATGTGCCGGAAAGCGAGGGCTGGTGGAAGTGTCGGCTGCATGGAAGGCAGGGCCTGGCCCCTGCCAACCGCCTCCAAATCCTCACAGAGGCCCCTGAGGATAGATCCTGTCCCCCATTCCCAGGAGGCTTGGAAAAAACCATCACCAACTCAGAGGAGACCTACCAGGTGCCCACAGTGCTGCCCACTCCACCCCCAGGCCCTGTGTATGAGCCGATGAAGAGCTGGGTGGAGGAGCCTCTGCCACCTGCTGCCCAAGTCTACGAGTTCCCTGACCCACCTCCCACTGCCAGAATCGTCTGTGAAAAGACTTTAAGCTTTCCAAAACAGGTAAGACTATTTCCAAATAAGAGAGATGAGTCAGGGGATGTGGGCTTCAGAGCCACTCAAGTCACCACTGTCTGTTCATCCAAGTGTGCCAAAGGGAACCTAGGTCATTGGTGATCATGACTGAGGAGCTGTGTGCTTGGCCCAGGACCCCACCCTTGTCACTCATACACTCCGCAGCCTGGGATTGGCCAGCTGCCCAAGACTGACCCCACTGCAGATGACGGAAGGCTTAGTGCAGTAGTGCATGAAAGTGCTGTGGGCATTCATGGCCTGGGGACAGCAGGGCATCACTGGGATCTCTAGTGGTAGTGATAGGTCTGGATTTCTGTCACATCCAAGTCAAGTGACCTACCACATTTAAAACGTGTATTCCCTTTCACCCGGAAATATTGCTTCTGGAATTGCTACAGGAGCACACGGGAAGGCAAATACTGGTAGGAACGAGGAGGCCCTGGCCTTCCAGAATCATTGGTATTAGGGAAAAAAAATCCTAAATGTTAGTGTATGGGAGGATTAGTGAGTGCATTGCCACAGCAAACTACCTTGCAGTTGTTAAAAAAGAAAAAAAGATGAGTCATTTCTATAAGGTGTTATTAAATAAGTAAATAATATTATTAATAAGTAAATAATATGATCAAATACCAGACAAATGATGCCTCAAAGACAGTATCCTGTGTCCACGTACATGTCTAAGATCTGTGCCCCATCTCTGCCCACATGTAGGAAGGACCCAGAAACACACAAGGAGGGCTGCCCTCAAGAGGTGGAATTGGCTAAGGAGAAAGTGAAGGAACTTTTACTTCTTTCCCACCTGTGTCCCCAGCACCTGGCACCAAGCCTCGAATGGAGTGTGTCCTCCATCAGTGTTTGATGAGCAAACAGATTAGGGGGTTAATTTGCATGTTCTATGGAACATGTATGACATCTGTAGCTTTTATAATATCAGCTTTTTAAAAGCAGAGGAAAAGGAGCACTTAGTAAAAGCCGAAAGAAAACTTTATTATAAAATAAAGAAAGGAATGTGAAGCCCAGCCTGGGTGAAGTGGAGGAGCAGAACGCATTTGCAGCATCCGATGGCCTTGGACACTTCCTGCATGCCATGATGCTTGGCTTTCAGCTCAGATGACACATCCCACCTGACCTCAGCTCTGGCAGGGGTCTTGGCAAGGTCTGTGTCCTGGAAAAGGCCACTTTCCTGACCTGTGTGCCCAGGGGACCCCAGGAAGGTGCTGCGCTCATCTCGGGCTTCCTCTGTATCAGCCTTCGATGCTGCCTGCAAATGAAAAGGGCTTGGTGCCTTCAAAGGTTTTGAATACTTCAGATTCTCTAACTTCCTGGGCTGCAAGGCGTAGGACCAGACAGTTGTTACTCAGAACAGCTGCCACACACAGGTGCTGACTCCAGACACCAGGAGGAAGCTGGCTGGGCCTTCATGGGGTGAGCACTACCTTGCTTTTCTGAAACAACTGGCTGTGTCTAGGCCTGGCCTCTCAGCAGCTGTCAAAACAGCTGAGACGGAGTGGGGCCTTGATGGTATTTCTTCTAAGGACAAGTGACACTGGGTGATATTGATTTGAAATTCTTTCCAAAACTAATGAAGAAAAAAAAAAATCAGGGGTCATTTTCCCCTCTCCCTAAAAGGAAAACAGATGCAAACCCACCTTCGGCCAAGCACCCTCTGCACCCAGCACAGTGCCTGGTGCTCCTCTATTAGGTGCTCCGGGAAACTTTTGCCAACTGAATGAAGTGACCCTACTCAATAGAATGCTTCAGAAATGTGACTCACTGCCACCTTGAAATTACATTCACGTAAAGGAAAAGACAAGTTACAAGTGAACTTTAACTCAGAGAGATGGTCAGGGCTGTAAGAGGGTTCCTTCCATGAATCTTGTCAACCATTTCCATAAAGCATGTCTCCATGCTCTTGCGGTGGTAAGGAGAAGCCGCAGCTACCCAGGGGAATTCAGGGCCTTTTTGCCACTGAGCAGGACTCAGCAGGTGGCCACAGAGAACCGCTGGGGAATTTTCCTGCTTTTTTTTTTTTTTTTTTCCTTCTGTAGCTCCTTCCCTGTCTGTTCTGGCTGCATTCTTGCCCTTTTGTGTGTTCTCTGTCACCTAGTGGTCTGGCCCTCTGGCTCCCTTGGCTTCCTGTGCAGCCTGTCACTCAAGGACACTCAGAACATGACAGACCCCCTGTGTTTCTCTGTCCTCCTCTGGGTCAGGAGAGGTCAGAGGAGCATTTCTAAGGTCAGCTCCAGATGCACCGTGTGGTGATTCTAACTAACGTCACTTCCCCTCTGCTCTGCTTTTCTGCTCTGAAAAGGGTGGAACTAGCTAATCAGTTGAGAATGTTCCAGTCCACAGGAAAGGCACGCATCTCTCCCCTGCTCACATTACTGAGCCTTTAACCCTAAGTCTGAGGCTGCCCAGGAAATACATGTTGTTCCAAGTGGAAGCAGACGTTGGTAGAACCAGGCACTGGCTTCAAGCCATCTCCAGCGGAGAGATCACAGGCTTGGGCCACCACTTAGGCAAGTCATTTCATGGACTCAATTTGTACTTCTGTTGACCATCTCTAGATTCAGAGTGGCCCAAGGTTAAAATCCAAGGTGGTGGAAATTTGTCCCTATCCTCAAATTGTCCTAAGAGAGGCATCTACACACCAGAATCAGACATCTCCATAACTGGAAGAGATTTTTGAGGACCTTTGGATTAGATCCACTCTCCATTTTACAGATGAGAAAACTGATCCCAAGGAGGTGAAACTATCCATCCAACTCCTGCACCTGGGAACACAGAGCTAGCACTAAAGCTTCTTAGCTCTCTCCATGTTCTTCAGACTTCAGTACCCCAAGGGCAGAGCCCTGTCCTCGCCATTCTCACCATCCTGTGATCTCCTTTCACCCCGCTGAGGCTGGAGCTACTCTTTCCATTTACCTCTTTGTTAAAGCTTCACCTTCAGGTCCTAAGGTCGTAACTCAGTCACTAGGATCAACCAAGAAATGGAACAGAACCAGCACTCAGAAGCCCTGAGCCTTCTCCCTGCCACTTCCCCCAGGGTAACCACCATCCTGAGCTTTGCTTTACTTTTTGTTCCAACTTCCTTAATATAATATATCAGCCTGTTTATAAACTTAAAAAAAAAAAGAAGAAGAAGATATTTGATTTTGGTTGAAATTCCCAAAAGAGGGGACTCTTTGGTATTTCAGCAAAGGACCAGATTTCCTCATGAAATTGCTTTGAGACCCACTGGTTCCTGAACAGGAGTTCCTCCTGCCTCTCTAAGCCTCTCGAAACCAGGTTTCTCAGACATGTTCCCAAATTGCTATCTGGAACCTACATTTTCCAAGAAACACTGGGCATTTTTGAAGTGGCATCCTTCTATCTCAAATGTCATTTTTAGGAAAGTCCCTCCTCTGTGAGTGTGTGTGTGTGTGTGTGCTCTTGCAAACATGTGCAACCCATGGCATCGGCCATATGAATAAAATGGGGCTTTTTTTAAGTCCTGGGGAACAATGGATACAGGAACTGCATTTGAAAAGGGTCTGTAGTGTGAGAGAGCAGGGGCTGCCGAATAAACAGAGCCAGGAGGGAGGAGGTACAGAAGTCCCTGTCAATAGTGAGGGATGCTCCTGTGTGGTCCCTGGGCTTGGACAGTGCATGGCCTCTCTTTCCTAGTGAGGATATTGGATCCCCAATGGGGACCATTGATGATTTGTCCTGGACCAAACAGCCTGAGACCACTGGAGACACAGCCAGGTTTATTAACTGAAATGAAGAAAACTGCAGAATGAGGACCCTGTGGGTATCTCACAGAGGAAAAGTTGGTCTAGTTATGGGCTCAGGGAAAGGTGGGATTTAGTGAAACAGAATCATGGCTGTTTCATATTAGGTTCAAAGGGCTTAGCCCCTTAGCACAGGAATTCTTTGGTAACCATAAAGTGGAGACAGAGGTAGAATGCTGGGGCTCCCCTTATCTGAAGCCCAGAACAACAGATTCTGCTTCTTGGGTATGTAACTCAGCCCTCCAAGCATGAGCAGGACACTTCTTTCTTTCTTTCTTTTTTATCTTTTATTTATTTTATTTTATTATTATTATTTTGACACTTCTTTCTTAATAAAGGTACTTGAGAGCCAGTGCTTCCCAGAGCCCAGGATTGGAGAACCTCATTTTTTTGAGAGTAAGAAAGCAGTCATCACTCAAAGAAGGGGCTGTTTTGACACTTGGCACTACACTGTGTCCTTGGGAAAAGTGTGTCCTGTTAGTTGACGGCCGTTTCAACTGCACTTGTGATTGCAGCCTGATGAAGGGCCGGGCAGGTGTTCATGTCCTGAGCTATCTTTTACCATCCCGTGCTATCCACGTTCAAATTAGCATCAGCACTTAACATGTGCCACCCAGTGCGTGGTCCAAGGGACACTGTAATGAATGGAAGGACCTTTACCTGGTCCTCACAAGCTGCCTCCTCAGCCTGCATTGTCCTCCCTGTCTCCACATTTCATTCCTGACCACCCCTAGGATTCAAATGGGAAAGCCCGTTACTCTGTGACAGATTTCTTGGGACCAGGGCAAGAGGTACATTCTCCTTCTCCTCTTTTCCGGCCCCATCTCACTTACCAACCTATGTCCTAGGTGTGTCTGGATCCTATTTATTTCCCCCTTAGGCCATAAGCCCCAGGCAGTGAGCATCTCCTACCCCATTTAAAAAAAAAATCTCCATTCCCAGGCCGCTCCCAGAAATGCTCTGATTCGAGAGGTCTGAGGTAGGAGCCCTGGCAACTGGAATACTTTAAATCTTGCCAGATGATTTGGATCTCAAGCTAGGGGTGTCATCTCGCACTCCATAGCACCCAGTTTTATGCTCAGGGTAGACAGCAGTCGGCTCTGAAGGACTAGTTGGAACCCAGAGTTCCCGTTAATAGGTATGGAATCAGTGGCAATGTTGAATCAGTGCTCCTAGGAAGATGAAATCTGATTGTCAGTCCTGCTCTGTGTAGGATGCAAGCCCGCTCCTTAACCTCCCTGCCGCTGTTGACCTTCCCCAGTCCTCCCCGCTGCCCACCCTCCATCCCTCTGTCACTTTCAACCACTCAGATTGCCAAGGTCTTTTCTGCTTCTACTCACATCAGCAAGTGCTGTCATCTGTGATTCCTACTCCCCCAGAGGCCCGACCTGAGGCCTATTTCCCCAGGACCTTGGGAGTCATTCACAGACACTCTGAAAGTCCCCTCTGCCCATGTGGCTGGGTGTATGTGTGAGTTGCCCCATGTCAGAGGTCCAGCCCAGATCCCTAGAGAGCTTCAGGATCACTAGGTCCGTTTATTTCCACTGCACCAGAGATTTACCAGACGTGGGGCCCAAGATTCTGCATTCTAGCTGTTTCCCAGGGCAGGCAGCCTTGGTCCACCCCTTGAGGAAGCCTCTCCCCCACCAGGGGGCCACCCCCTCAGCACCCAGCTACTGCCAGTCTCCGGGATAAAGCATCTGCCACTTAGCAGTGCTAGGCTGACACTCAACAGTGCCCACGAGCTGTCTTCTCTGTTTGGGAGATAACTTTGAACATGACCATGTGATCAGTTTAACATTTCCTTTCCCTTGACACCCTTCTTTTTCTCTCCCAGACCCTCTTTGCGCTTCCCAGACCTTCGAGGGCCTCGCTGCCAGCTCTGCCTTCCCAGGTGTACGACGTGCCCGTGCAGAGCCGGGTTCCCTCAGCCCTTAAGGTGAGCCTTGCGTGGTGGCCCCACTCCCTGATCCCCCAGGCCTGAGCTGAGTGGGGTCTGGGCGTCTCACAGACAGCTGATTTCAGCTTCCCTGAGGGAGGCCTTCAGGGGCTTCGGTCCCCTAACTCTGAAGGTCATATCATCACTGAGAGGCAAGCTTTGCAGGATCCAGGCCTGCTGGGGAGAACACTGTGGCTATTGGAATTCCAGACATTTTAAAATTTTTACTTTTCATTTGTAATAGATATTTCATTATGAATATAGACACCTACACACATACATTTTTAAAGAGTAATATCTTTTTGGCAATGCTGGAGACCCAGCCCAGGGTCTCAGAGCATGTTAGGCAAGCATTCTATCACTGAGCTATTTATTCCTGAACTCCTAAAAAACAGTGTCTTGGAGGATATGCATCACAGTTTTAAGGTTGATGATCTTAACATTGATCATTCATTATCTCTGGGGGAAGAAATTTTAGGGTTTCTTTTTTTTTTCAGTATTGGGGATTAAGCTCAGGGTTGCTTTACCACTGAGCTACATCCCAGCCCTTTTTATTTTTTTATTTTGAGACAGGGTTTCACTAAGTTGCCCAGTCTGGCCTCCAACTTGCGATCTTCCTGCCTCGGCTTCCTGAGTTGCTGGGATTACAGGCGTGTTCCACCACGCCCGGCAAGTTATTATTGTTTTTTTAACTTACTTGTACATAATAGGCACATCAAAAACAGCTTCGCTCCTTTCTCAGCTCTCAGACTCCAGCACATATGGAGTTACCGGCAGCTTTCCCAAGTCCTGCTGCCCAAGGCCCATCCCCAGAGATTCTGCCCTGTCAGGTCTGGGCTCAGGCGTTAGGACTTTCAAAGCTTCCAGGAGATGCTAATATGCAGCCAGGACTGAGACCACAGCACTAGTCTAAACAGAACTTGGAGCAGCTCTGTGACTTCCTGGTCACTCAGTTAAAAGAAGTCACTTTGGCGTCCCCAGTCTCCATGGGGAATTTTAACATCCCATCCAGGCAATAATCAAATGTGCATTCATTTCAGGCCAAAGTTTCTGCCCTCGCTTCCTGCCTGCTTGCTGGGCCTGGTTTCCAGCCATGGGACCTCAGGATTGACCAGGTTCTCTGCTGGTTCCATGGCTCAAGGTCTCCATTCCCCTCCCACTCTCTGGGAGGTCTCAGACTCTTTCAGGGCCTCAGGACACAGGCAGGGAGAGAGGACAGGAGAAAGGCCCTACTGACTGGCTCTTCTGGGGACATGGTGCAGGTGCTGAATGCTGGTGGCAAGTGTTCAGGCTGACTCTCCTCTGGGGCTGTCCCCACCTCCTAACTGAGCACTGCTTACCTGCAAATCCCACCCAGGGAGCAAATGCACCTGCTCTGGCTGGTGCCTCTTCCCTTAGCCCCGAGGCAGGCAGGTTATTTCCAAAGCATCCTCCTGAGATTCCCTTCCCCATCCTGCCCTGCTCATGCTCAGCTCCCATGCAACCCCAGTTGGGCCATGGAAGCACACATGCTCCCGTTGCCAAGATGCACAAGGGAGCACCAGCATCTCCCCGGGTGTAAGCTTCTTAAATGAAGACACACTTAAATCCATGGCCTCACTTACCTTGCCCTAATCCCCAGCCTGTCGGGTCCTGTCTTTGTTTAAAACGTTGACATTTCATTCATCATGATTTTTTGCATTAATTATGATTTTTAAATACTTGGCCTAGATGACTGAGGGTTTTGGTGCCCCTGGATGCTAGGCCCAGGGCAAGGGATGTGCTTTCTTCACTCTGGTCCTGAACCCAAGGACAGGCCATCATAGCACAGCCACACTCTGCTTGGTTGTCAGCCTCTAAACTCTCCAAAGCCAGAGCCAGCCCCCTGCACTATGACCCCATGTTGAGGGCATAGTCATCAAGTCAAGTCATCAAAGGATCCTATTGGAACCCTCAATGCTTCACTTGTGGAGGGCACTTGTCCCTAACCCTGAAGGATTTGCAGGAGACTCAGCTCGACTCGGCAAAGAAGCCCTCTAATACCCAGCTCTTTCCCTCTTTCTTGGCAAAGCCTGTTCTGGTGTTGCCTTGCCTTAGAACTTGGAACTTATTTTTTTACATCCTAATATACACATATTCTGATCACTGTATACGTTTTTCATATGTAACATAAAACATTTGTATCTCAAGCCTCTGGAGGAGCCTGGCAGGGGAATGACAAGCTCGGCATCTGGCACTCAGTAGGTCTTCAGTAGGATGCACATTTTTCAAAGGGGTAATCCAAGCTCTCTTTTTATTGCTCACATCACTGTACATGCACAGTTCCACCTGGCTCGACGTAGTTAGTAGTCACTCGATACATATGTTCAGAATGACAGCATGAGTGACAGGAGAATTTCTGTTGTGAAAAACAAACAAAAAGATGTATTAGGCTCCCATGTCATTGTCCCTTCTGGCTTCTTTCCATCCTAAGGCTAACTGCCTTTAGGTGAGTGGCCAAGTTCAGTTCAGGTGACTGCAGTTAGCTCTGTACAGCTTCCCTCAGTCCTTGGGGAAGGAGAGCCCTATACATCACCACGTCCAGTGTTGAACTTTCATCCCTTGCAGCACATGGAAGAGCACCATGACTGACAGCCCCAAAGTGTTCAGGGATTTGTTTCTTTCATTGGAAAAAAAAAAAAAACATTGGAGAGTGGAGAGTTTGTGATGATAGCCATTAGGAAGAAAAAAATCTAAGTTGTCCTCCTCTGCGGTCTTTCCCTAGGAGCCGGAGAAGCAGCAGTTATATGACATACCGCCCAGTCCCCAAAAGGCAGCACTCCACCTTCCAGCCAGCCAAGCAGGCGTGAGTATGAACAGGTGCCGAGCTGTGGTGCCGTGGAAGCCTAAATGTCTGCTGGGAAACTTTATTAGCTTGATATGTCATCAGCTTTCCATTGTTGTGACAGAATACCTGAGGTAAACAACTCATAAGGAGGAAAGGTTTATTTTGGCTTATGGTTTCAAAGGTTGAGCCTCTGGTCAGTTGGCATGTTGCTTTGGGCCTGTGGCGGCACAGTATACCATGGAGGGAGCACAGTAGAGCACAACCACTCACCTCCTGGTGGCCAGAAAGCAGACAGAGGAAGAGGAAGGCACTGGAGTCCTAATATCCTCTTCCAGGGCACATCCTCAGTGACCTCACTTCCTCTAATTAGGACCCATCTCTTATAGGGCCTCACTACATCACCTACCAGTGGCACTACCGGCTGGAGAATGAGACTAACACATGGGCCTCCAAGGGACTTCCTAGATAAAAAAATCAGTATGCAAATTCTCCATAACAAACCTTACTGTATTTTAAACAACAACAACAACAACAACAAAAACAACAACTTAATTGCACTGGGGTTCAGGAATAGGATGTGGTTTGAGTAAGACTTAGCTTCTTCATGCCTCAGTTTTGCATTGCAGATGTATTGGAAGGATTACATGAGATAATCCCTGCAAAGCACCTGCTAGAGTGCCTAGCACAGAGCAAGAGATCAGCAAGTGTTAAAAATCACTTCTTCTTGTGAGAGACCTCAGGGATGCACTGCATTGAAGTATGCTTCTGTGTGTGTAGGGGAATTCATCACTGGATTCGACTACATGCGTCCCATGGATATACTTTTGTCCAAAGTTATTAGGGGTGGCCTTACAAAAGAGGTGACATTTCAGCAGTGCCATGAGCAATATAGAAAATATAGTAGATGGAAAGGAAAGAGTTGAACAGGCAGTTACAGCAAAGGGACCCGTTTTGGCAAAATTTTAAATATGGTGGTGTGAGTGTGTGTTCTGAGTTCAGGTGAGGCAAACAGTCCAGGGGACTGGACCTATAAGTACAGGGTGGAAGATGGTGGGGGCTGGAATGTTGAAAATCAAGAGAAAGGAGGCTCAAAAAAAGGGGAGGGATCGAGATTGTGAGGGGCCTTGAGTGATAACAGTGATGGGGAGCCACAGAAGGGACTAGAGAGAGGAGAAACAGTCAGACCTGAAGGGTCAAGTAAGCCCTCTTTTTATTGCTGCTAACATGGGCGACTACATGTGGTTCTTCCACAGGACATTCCTCTGAAACCAGCCTTTGGAAGAGAGGGCTACAGCACATTGCCAAACCCTCAGAAATCAGAATGGATTTATGACACTCCAGTGTCTCTGGGCAAGGCCAATGTCAGAAATGCATCTCTAGCCAGCTTCGCGGAAGAAGCAGGGCCAAATGCTGTCCCCAGTTCGAGCTCTACTTTCCACAGACCTCCAGATACCAAAGTCAGGATCCTCCCTTCACAGCCAGGTAAAAAGGTGCCCACGAAGAAGAATCCCAGCCTTTCAGATGTCCCTTCCTACACCATCCTAGTGCCCAGGAACACACTCTCTTCAGATGCAGGCGCCAGCTACAAGGTGCCTTCCAGCTTTCTGATTCCCCGAGTGGAGCAGCAGAACACCAAGCCCAATATTTATGACATCCCTAAAGCAAAGCCAAGTGCATCCCAGGCAGGGAAAGAACTAGGAAAAGCCAAGGAGGCTCCAGAGAACCCCCGGGGCCACAATTCCTTCGAGTTCTCCAGACGAAAAACTTCCCTATCTCCAGAACCGGACAGGTCATCCATTGCCAGCTCGGACAGCAGAGCCAGTGTGGTTTCTTCCTGCTCCTCCATGTCAACTGACTCCTCCTCTAGCTCCTCCTTGGAGGAGTCAGCCAAGGAGCTCTCCCTGGATCTGCACTTAGCCAAAGAGACAGCAATGAGCCTACAGCACAAAGTGGTCAGCTCTGCAGCAAGCCTGCTGCTCTTTGTAAGTAGGAAGTGGAGGTTCAGAGACTCTCTGGAGGCCAACATTGATGGGATCCACAGGGCTGCTGACCACATAGAAGGAGCTTTAAAAGAATTTCTGGATTTTGCCCGAGGAGTTTATGGGTCTACCTGCAACGTCACTGACAGTCATCTTAGGGCCAGAATTCGAGATCAGTTACAGACAATCTCCAATTCCTACCAGATCCTGCTAGAAGCAAAGGAAAACCTGGACAGCTGCAATTGGTCCCTCGAAGTTCTTGTGACAGACAAAGTTCAGAACAGCCTCGATGACCTTGAGAGGTTTGTCATGGTGGCACGGATGGTTCCGGAAGATGTCAAGAGATTTTCCTCCATTGTCATTGCCAATGGGAGGCTGCTCTTTAAGCAGAATTGTGAAAAAGAAGAGACCATCCAGTTGTCCTCAAATGCAGAATTTACGTGTAAAAAATGCATCCAGCTTCCACAAAGAGAAGTAGAATCATACCAAAAGAGTACTCCTTTTAATAAAGCAAGGGAAAACTACCATTCCCCTGAAGTACTTAAGAAAAATGGGACAAGTGCCTCTGAACAGGTGAGTTCAGAGGTCCCAGTGACATAAAGTGGGTCTTCTGATGTCGTCCAGAGCCATCACCACTAAGCGAGGTGCCGAGAAGCTCTACTGATAGCTCTTAGGCTCTCGCAAGACAAAGGTTCCATTTCCTAGAGAATAAAATGCATGAAAGCAAACTTCTTGACAAAATCTTGTTGGATTTTAATATTAAGCCAGATAGATCAGTATATTTGGATTTTCTCTAAAAAATTTTGGGGGTTCAGGTTTACCTCTGATCCTAGAATTAGAAAGTATTTTTTAAATCTTTTAAAAATGTTTGTTAAGTTTTGCCGGACACAGTGGTGCACTCCTGTAATCCCAGCGGCTTGGGAAGCTGAGACAGGAGGATTGCAAGTTCAAAGCCTACCTCAGGCCCTAAGCAACTCAGCAAGACCTGTCTCTAAATAAAATGCACAAAAAGGGGTGTGGATGTGGTTCAGTGGTTAAGTTCCCAAGTTCAATCCTCTTACCAAAAAAAAAAAAAGTTTATTAAGTTTTAAATCTTGCCACCAAGTATCCTCATGTTTTTGAAAGTTATACATTTTGTTATCATCAGCATGTTTCATAGAAAAAGAAGTACCCTTCAAACATTCTTGTATTTTTGTTTGTTTTTGTGGTTTTGGCTGTGCTGAGGGATGAACCAAGGCCTTGTGCAGGCTGGGCAAGCACTCTGCCAACTGAGCTACACCCCAGCCCCCATTCAGACAATCTTCTGAGTTGTTCCAGGTCTGATCAGCCTCCACACTCCAGTCCTACCTAGGAACTCTTGTGGAGCCTTTAGACCTTACAAGAAGAGGACGTTGAGTTCAGAGGTTGTAGCCAAGAGCCCAGTGGGCACCTGAGAGCTGTGTGGAGATGGTTTGACTCTTTGGGTCCCAGCCTTGGGGTTCTGTTGACATGCCTGATGATGTAACAGCTTTAACATATTCTAGAAATTTGAACATCTTTCATTTCCAGGTAAAATTTTTTAATTAAAAAATTTTTAATTAAAAAATTTAAACATAATTTTTTATGGGTCATTACATTAGGCCTTGTTGGTTAGCCTTGGACTGCCAAAGTCTCCTTTGGTTGACAACAGGTGTCAGTAGCAGAACCAGGAATAGCAGTACAGGTAGGAGCACTCAAGCATTAGCCTGAACTGATGCAGTTTGAAATAATGAAAAACCATCCAAATTGTATTTTATTTTTCAGGCATTACCTAACCTAGAAGAAAAAGAAACACGCATCTTGGCAGGAAAGTTAGAAGAAGACAAAGACTTAGATACAATGGTAAGCTGTCTTGCTCACTCCCCAACACCTCTGGTTACATGCTTTGTCCCTAGAGACATTTCATCATGCTATAGCAATCTCATTCTATAGCCATGACCCACTTGGGGGAGATCTGGTTTTCTCTTCTTCATAGTACAAAGAACCCTGGAGAGCTCGAGTGTATGTATCATGGCCCTTAACCCTGACCACCAGGGAAAACTGCAAGTTCATCATGGGCAGGTCCAACATGGCATTAGATAACATGGTCACATTCTCTATGATGTCATCAATTAATGCTTCTGATTACAACAACAAAACCCACTTTGGTTTGAAGTTCTGTCTTCAACACCTCTTCGACATCTCCTAATTCTTTTTTTTTTTTTAAATCAAAGATGTTATCATTGTGCTTATTGTTATTGGTCATCTTCGATTTGTGGCAAATGACAATAGTTTTCCAATTCCAAATTTTGAAATTTTCCTTTAAATTATTAAAGTGAAAACAATGGGTCCATCCAGAGACTCAGTGTGAAGCCAGCAGATGTCAAGAGGGAGGCTGGCTGCTTGGGAAACAGTGAACCAGTTCAACAGCCCAGATAAAGGGGCATGCTAGGTGGGGGGGAGGGTGATGCAGACAAGATCATGTGCCTTCTCTGAGGCAAAGAGGGGCAAGAACCCAGGCTCAGTTACCCACACCCCAAATACTGAGCATCAGGCCTTCTGTATTGCTAAAGGTCATGCTGTCCTTTCAAGGCAAAGTATGCCTTAGACCAGAGGCCACCCAGCATGACAGTACATCACAGTCACTTATAAGGCTTGCTGAAACTCCGAGTTTCTGATTAGGTGGGCGTGGGTGCAGAGAATCTACCTTCCTGACAAGCCCCCAGGTGCTCCTGATGCTTTTGGTCCAGGGGCCACCCTGGAAATCCCCTGCTTTACACTGACAGTGCTTCCTCAGTGGGGACAGGGTGTCATTGGCCACAGGGGACCATGCTCCGGGTGTGGGAAGCCCTGGTGGCACCCCAACCCCTGCCCACACACTGCCTGCAGCTGCCTGTCCATAAGAAAACAACTAGAACCACCTCTGCAGGCTCCACACCCGGGTCAGGAGCCAAGGTACTCTCTTCCTTTACCTACAGTTGGTACTTTTAAGATAGATTTCCTGGCTCATGCTTCTAACCCTTCTTCCCATCCTCCCTGCTCCCAGAATCCTCTTAACCAACACCCCATCCTCTTTTCACTTCATACTAAAAAATAATCATTGTCTTCATTTTCCAAATATGAAATCATAAAAATGAATAGATTTCTCCAAAGTATGCCTTGCTTCTAGTCTGACTCCCCCTCCACCAGCCCTGAGGGACATAGCCCCTTCTGACATTCACTTTGCGGGTCCTTTCTGATGAAGTGCTGTCATCGGTAGACAAGAGAGGGCAGAGTTTGAGGGAGAGAGTCTCAGACTTTGCCATTTGACTGTGAGCTCCAGCTGAATTTACTAATTGAATGGCCCCTGAGTTCAGTTTCCTCACTTATTAAAAAAATAGGAGGGCCGGGTATATGTACCTCACTGGTACAGCACTCGCCCAGCTTGTGCAGAAGTCCTGGCTTCAACCCTCAGCACTGCAAATAATAAAACTAGATTAAAAAAAAAACAAAAAACCCTAAGCTGCCTTGTAATGCTACCCAGAGTGACCACCACCAACTCAGGTGCTGAGAATCCTCTGATGGCATATGGGAGAAACATTGATCCCATTTTCCTGAAAGTAAAATTTTGATGAGACCTTAACAGCAAACAAGGTAAGCATTTTCATATTAAGGTAGATAGGTCAGTATATTTGACCCCTTTCACTGTACCTTTGGTACTGGAATCAGAAAGGATTTGTAAATGTCTTAAAAGCTATTCTTTGGGCAAATTTTAAAAATCTCACTGTCAAGTTTCTACATTTTTGTTGTTGTTGTTATTATTGTTTTTTTCTTTTCCCTTTTATTTTTTCTCTTTCCATATTTTTATTGGTGCATTATTGTTAAACATAATAATGTTAGTTGTTGTTACATCTTGCCTTGCACATGTTAAGCATATGCTCTATCACCAAGCTTCAACCCTAACTCCTTCTTGCACTTTTGAAAGCTATAAATTTAGTTATTGTTCTCATGTCCCTTAGAGTGAGTTTCTTATGGTCTACTGATGGTCGAATAAAATTATATATAGTATGTATTATAATACATAAGATTACATATACTATGTTATAATATATGCTACAGCGCTTTGGAAACATTAACATTATTTTCTTTAGACGTCCCCAAAAAACTGTGTCTTTTCTTCTAAAACGCCTTGCCAATCAAGCAAAAATAGAAAGAGAAGATAACCGCAGCTTGCTGATCCATCTGTCTCTTACCTGCTTCCTCCTTCTCTTCTCTAGAATCCTGGCTCTCTTGTAGCCCAGCCTTTGACTCAGCAGAACCCAGGTGGGAAAGTGCACCTCTCTGAACACTGCCGTCTCTATTTTGGGGCACTCTTCAAAGCCATCAGTGTATTCCACAGCAGCCTCAGCAACAGCCAGCCTCCAGAGATCTTTATCACTCAGAGCAAGCTGGTCATCATGGTGGGGCAGAAGCTGGTGGACACTCTGTGCAAGGAGACCCAGGAGAAGGATGTGCGTAACGAGATCCTCTGCAGCAGCAGCCACCTTTGTGGGCTGCTGAAGGACCTGGCGCTGGCCACCAAGAATGCAGTTCTCAAGTACCCGAGCCCTGCAGCCCTGGGGCACCTCCAGGCTGAGGCCAAGAAGCTGGAGCATCACACACGACAATTCAGAGGGACGTTGGATTGAGGCACTGCCGCCTCCTCCCTCAGGTTACTTCTTAGCTTCTCAGCACAACCTGGGCAGCTCTGTCCCCTGGGGAACGCTGCAGAGCATACAGGATGGGCCACAGCAGCCACTGTGCCCAGAGCCTGTAGTACAAGCAGCCGTGCAACTCTAGGACACTGGCTTACCCCCAGTGGGCAGGAAAGAGAGCCAGGCATTATGTAAGGACCTTATGAGGAGGACGTGCCATCTAGGGTATGCAAAGTCACTGTTGGAAGTAACAACGAAGAAATCATTTCTATGTTGGTTAAACATGTATGTGGTTTACATTCATTCATTCAGCACTTATTTATTGGGCACTAACTATATGTCAAGTTCTAAGGCTAGAGACACAGCAGTTTCTCAGCAGCCATGCCCTCATGAACTCACAGTCCAGACAATAAAATGATTAAGAAATGCATCTATAATAAATCAGAGGCAGGGAGAAAATACAGTCCAAGGAAGAGAAGGGAGCTCAGTTTCAAAAGATACATTTCTGTTGCATCCATTAGAAAATGTAATTTTTAAAAAATTTTGGATTGAATTAATTCCGTGAGATTGGTACAAGTTGTGGATGTTTCTTGCACCAAAACTATATATATTTTTTGCTGTTTTCTTACTGTGGTTAAAGATGCATGGTATATTCTTGCCACACCTGTTCTGTTGTGTTCCCTATTAACTTATTTTGTATATTGTAGATTCTGTATTGAGAAGTTCTACTGCTCAATTAGAAAAAAAAAAGTTTATATTTCAACAGTTGCAACTCTGCAACCGTTTATAATAATATTTAAATATAACCATGAATTGAAGCATCATTTTCAGCAATCCTTTGCAAGCCTTTGGTCCACACTGCCTGAGTTCTGGTCCCAAAGTCAAGCCCTTGATGTTTATTTTTGGCCTTCAAATGCTTCTCACTGAAGTCTATAGGCAGATGCTGTAGAGGCCATGTTTTATGCGTCAGATCAGCATGTGGCACAAAGCCATCACCTGTGGGGTGCAGACAGGAAGGTGTGGTGTGGACAGGATACCCATCGCTGGGCACAGACATGGAAATGACACTGAGCTCTCCTCCCGTCAAACCACCTCCTCTTCCACCCCTTGCAGCAGAGGCTTTCTGCTCAGGTTTCTACGGTTACATAATCCTGTCCATCCCAGGGACGGTCTGTGGTTGTCATATGTGTCTCAGCCACATAAATACCTCTGTAGCCTGAAATCAGCATCTCCAGCTGGGTCCCCTGCAGGGGAACAAGGTCCAGTGGCCACCCACTCTTCTGTCCTTGGTGGGCATGTTAAGACATTGGTTGTAGAAAGCTGACTGTTTTATTGAGTTAGTTTCTGGATCCTAAAAAAAGAAGACTCTCTCCTTTGTGAGACTTGTCTCTACAGCTGAACAGAGAGACCCTAGAGGGCCACATTCTTTGAACAGCAGAATCTTCATCAATTGGGATTGAAGTCAGTTTTTTCACCACTATCCCCATAAGACCTGACAAGAACAATTAGAAGAAGAAAAGTTTCTTTGGGGACTCACAGTTTCAGAAATCTCAGTCCATAGAAGGCCAGCTCCATTCCTCAGGGCTTGAGATGAGGCAGAACATCACAGCAGAAGAGTGTGGCAGAGGGAAGCAGCTCAGGTCATGGAACCAAGAAGCAGAGGGAAAGCTCTGCTCAACAAGGACAAAATATATACCCCAAAGGCATGCCCCCAGGGACCCACCTCCTCCAGCCAAAGTCTTCCTGCTGCAGTTACCACCCAGTTAATCCCTTCCAGGGGATTAATACACCTAATAAGTTAAGGCTGTCATGACCCAATCACTTCACCTCTGAACTTACTTGATTTGTCTCACATATAAACTTTTGGGGGACACCTAATAACTAAACCATAACAGGGATTCTATTTCTAGTGTTGGAAAACCATATCTAGTTTGTCTTAAACAATAGAGGAAATTTATTGACTCAAGTATCTTAAAACAATTTGGGGCAGAATAGCTGCACAGCCATTCAAGGGTGGGAGCAGAATTAGGCAAGTCTAGGTAAAGTTAATCCTGTATTATAGTCTTGGACAAAACATTTCCCAATGTTCAATGTCTCTACATGCAGAACAGAGTAGAATCTGACCCAAAGGTTAAGGCAGTGAAGAGGACAGACCGGTAAGAGATTGCTCCTGTTCTAGTCATCTGCAGGTCCATGAGAAGAGCTAGTATTCTTCTTCATGTCCCTGAAGAGTAACCTAGGCAACTGTTATTATTACAACCCACACACCAGAGGTGTGATCTACAGCAAAACCAACAGGGGACTAAAAATGTACTGCCCAGCTCTGTGGCCTCCCAAATTAGTGACTTTTTAAAGTCAAGTAAGAATAGTGAAGCTAAAAGATTTATTTAGGGTTTCTATGAGGAGCAAAGGGAAAGTTCTTTATGGAGCTCTCCTTTGGCCTCCATAAGCCTTACCTACCTATGGTTACCACCAATTTAATCCATATCAGTGTAATAATCCACTATTAGGTTACAGCTCTCATAAGCAAGTCATTTCATCTCTGAACATTCTTGCTTTGTCTTGCATGTGAACTTTTGGGGATGCCTCATGTCTAAACCATAATACCAGTTGGCTTGCCTTGATTCCACAAAAGACATGAGATTCTGGTATCAAAGACTGTGTCATTGGTCCCCAACATGACTTCAGGCCCAATGAGTCATGAGGAGGACTTACAGAATGCAGAATAGGGTTTACTCATAGCTCTGAATTTTTTCAGTAAAAGGACAGATAGTAAAATCAGCAAAAAGAAGAGGGTACCAGGGTGAAATGTAGGGGGACAGACACAAGCTCCTAGAGTCCTCTCCTAGTGCAATGACAAGGGACACACTTGATTCCCCCCCCCATGAGCTGTGACATCATTGTGAGGAGTCTCCAACCTGGGAAGCTTGTGAGAGCCACAGCACCCAGTGTCATTATTGGGCGCTGACCACATAGGCATCTCTTCCTGACGCGTACCTGATTTCCAAACTCTCAGAAGGAAAGCAGATGTTCAGCACAAACCATGCTTGTCTGTGTTAGAGTCTGTAAACAAGTCAGGATGGCGCCTGGTATTTTGCCAGGGGGAATGGTTAATGTTAAGGTCTGTAAACAAGTCTGGATGGCGCCTGGCAAAATGCCAGAGGGAGTGGTTTGTGAAGTAATGCCAGCTCCAGCGAGCCATTAAGTGTGGAGATTCCTTATTGGTTGACTGCTGTATCTAGTTTATGTTAATTAAGATAAGCTGTGTGGAATGTATAAATACCTCTGTTGTCCTACAATAAAGGGCTCCCACTCCTGCTGTATCAACGTACACAAGTTGTTCGTCACCCCCCCCCCCACCCCCGTTATTTTGCTGCAGCCGGACTGCGGCAGTCTGTACAGCTTAGGTGCAGTGAGCCATTCTTATTTGTTCTGGGGATGTTAGAAACCCTCCTGAGTTCCAAGTTCCTACATGTCAATCAAAGGCCAATGTTGCAGGCAGGCCTTCCTAAGGATGCTGGTCAGAGCTGAAATGTGGACTCCTATCTGCACAGAGACCTGAGATTCCCTCAGCACCACAAGAAGCTTCACCTTCATGCCCTGTTCCCTCATCCCTCAACTGCAAGGGGGTGAGTCAGAGGTGGGCTCAGGTGTAGGCCACTCACACTTAGGTTTGTTTCAAAGCAGAGGAAACCCAGAACAGAAATCCACAATCTCTTATAATGGGCTCTGAGCAGAGCTGGCCACGCTTCACTTAGAGGAGACCTCGTCTTTATTACATTGGAAGCAGAGAAGCCTGCCCAGTGCTCTGGAGCGAGGCACTATCTCTATCTTCCAAGGCTGTTGGCTACCAACATCCTTGAAAAGATGCTCCAGGAAAAAAAAATAGCAGGTCCTTTGCTCAGAAGGTGTGCAAAGAACAGGGTTGGGGATGTAGCTCAGGAGTGGAGCATTGCTTAGCAAGTACAAGACCCTGGGTTCCATCCCCAGCACCACAAAAACACAAAAGCAAAACAAAACAATACAAAAGGGAATGAGGTATGGAAATGAAAAGCAGCTGTGGAGAACTGAATTCCAATACAATCCCTAGCAAAAGTCAGCCATGTTGTTAGAAGAAGAAAAGATTGTTGCTTGGAGGCAAACTACCAGTTTTTATTGCAGTGGACAAATTTTTTTTTTACACAGTGATGATAACAGCAGCCCATATTTATTGAATGATTACTACTAAAGCATTGTTCCAGCTGTTTGTATATTTTAGCTCCGCCCTTCCTAAGTGACAGAATGTCTAAAAGGTAATGACAGGTCCTATTTCATGTCCCCCCCTCCCCATTTTGAGATGAGTTCAAACCAAGGACACTTGTCAACAAAATGCAAAACCACTGGATACGAACATGAAAAGTGCCGCCCTTAGCTAAACGGGTTTCCTTTTTCTTTTTTTTTGAAAGAGTAGTTGTTAATCTAATAGGATGATTACTTCTGGAAAAACATCTAATAGAATTACATATGTATTTTCAGCTCTGCCATTTTTTTATTTTTTATTTTTTGTTAAATATTTCTGTCTCATGCCCAGAATTCTGTACCATTTCCTCCCAAAGAAGAGAGAGGAAATGGTGGGTGGTGGTGGGGGTGGTGGTGGTGGTAGCAACTTGACCTCAATTATGTTAAATTCATCAGGAGGATGGAAGTGGTGAGGAGACCACTTAAGAGATCTTCCAATGTGACAAGCCCTTCGGAGTCATGTTTTGGAACTATGCTTTCTTTTTTGCTTTTTTTTTTTTAAATAAAACATCCTTTAACATTTTTTTAAATTTTTCCCTAACGGTGTACCCCAATCTATAAATGTGCCATTCCTGCTTGCACTCGTAATGTATCAACGCTATTTGTTAATACTGTTTTCTCTTCACCCATGACTTTAACAAGCACATCTTGAGCACCTCCTATTTTTCAAGGACTCTGCTGAGCTCTAGAGGTGCTGCAGGGAACAAAGCAAAGGCTTACAATATGCAGCTATCATTCCATGGCAGGGGGGCACCAGGGCCAGGACAGTACCCAAGTCACCCTCCCATAATGCAACAAGGGACCCAAATTACTTGGTAATAAAAAGAAATAGTATTCTGATGCTCCCCTCACACACATTTTTCCTTTTTTTTTTTCCTTTTTATTGGTACTGAGGATAAAACCCCAGGTCTTGTGCATGCCAGGCAATCACTCCACCATTGAGTTACATCCCTAGCCCTGATGGAGTTTTGTATTGTTGTTGTTGTTGTTTTTTAAGAAACCAAAATCAATGCAAAAAAATCATGGTAAATAAGAAATCAAAACTGAAATATATAACACAACATGAAGGAGTAATTTGCAATGAAGATGGTAAAGGAAAAGAGGGGCCTGTGTGACAGAGGAGTGTTCTTTTAGATGGAAAGGTTAGGGACAATCTCTTTGAGAATGGGACCCACAAATAGAGTGCTAAGTCACTCCAGAGAGTTAGCTGGGCAAGCATTTAGGATTAAGAGATCATTCCCAAGAAGGATCAGAAATTCTTGTGCTCAGGAAGAGAAGAGGGAGGTCCATGTGGCTGGGACTTAGTGAGGGAAAGAAGAGTGGCCAAGATGACTTAGGAATGGTAGCCAGGGCCAGTTTACGGAAGGCCTTATGTATTCCTGGAATATTCTATTTCCCTAAGACTAGGAATTAAAAGTAATTTTTGTTTTAGATTATCTCATTAATGATCTAATTTTCCACTTTATTTTAACTTTCTTTTGGAACCTCTCCTAAGTGGGACCTGAAAGGATAACTGTAAAATTTCTTAAAAATCCTAATATATAGTTTTTTTTAAAAAAATTCTCACTCTTGAAATGAGTTACTTACTCTACATATCTTATCTTTCCAGACAGAATGTTAAACTGCAGCTATGGGAAAGAATCTAAATAGAAATCTCAGGAAATCAAACTCCTAATGGTTTAGATGTCTAAAATAGGTGGGAACAAGTGTCTCAGCATTTAAAGTACTTCATAGCTGGAGCCGGTGAATGGAATACAAACATGTATACCATGTGAAACTTCTTATTTGTGCTAACAGATATTTTTCTGGGGAGTAAGTCTAAAGTTCTTATCAAGTTATCAAACAGATCCAATGGCTCCAAAAAGTTAAGAAACACTGTTTTTACCTACAGTGATTACCATTAGGATTTCTGGAAATGGTACATGTGCTCCTACTGCTCAACCTTGTCTATTTAATCTCCTAATGTATTAGCCTTTTCACTGCTATGACCATAAGACCTGACAAGAACAACTAGAAGTGGAAAAGTTTATTTGGGGCTCACTGTTTCAGAGATCTCAGTCCATAGACAGCGGGCTCCATTCCTCAGGGCCAGAGGTGAGGCAGAACAGCATGGTGGAAGAGAGTGACAGAGTGAAGCCGCTAGGGACATGACACCAGAAAGCAGAAAGTGAGCTCTGCTCAACAAGAACAAAATATATACTGCAAAGGCATGCCCCCAGGGACCTGCCTCCTCCAGCCACAGCCTACCTGCCTACAGTGACCGCCCAATTAATCCCTATCAGGAGATTAATGCACGGATTAGGATAAGACTCTCATAACCTAATCATTTCACCTCTGAACTTTCTTTCCCTCCCTCCCTCCCTTCCTTCCTTCCTTCCATACTGGTTATTAAACCCAGGGTGCTTAACCACTGAGCTAAATCCCCAGCCCTTTTTATATTTTATTTAGAGTCAGGGTCTGGAGAAATTGCTTAGAGACTTGCTAAATTGCCTCAGCCTTCTGAGCCACTGGGATTAGAGCTGTGCGCCTCACCTCTGAACTTTCTTGTGTTCACACACACGCTTTTGGGAGACACCTAGTATGCAAACTATAACACCTAGTAAAGTTTGTAACTTCTAGATAACAACAACTCCATGTTAAGAGGATATAGCACAAGAATTCCAACTCATGACCACAACAGACCAGTGTCCATCTCCTTTAGAGCAGTTAGGATGAGACTTCTGATCCCTGACCAGGCAGTGCCAGGGCCCCTTTGCCAGCTGAAGCAGCCATAGAGGATGGATGTCGCCCCTCGGCCACCCTTAAGGTTAAGGAAAAGTCTCTGCAGTGGGGGTTGACACAGGGGTTTAGGATAAAGAAATAGATACACTGACTTTTAAAGGAAATTTCCACAAGCTATTGAGATGCAGAAAGTACAGCTGTAAATCTTGAGCAACATACCCTTGTCCACCTTCTGGTGAAACAAGGGGAATGTGCAAGAAAAGAGAAAATTGGTGCAAAATTGTGCAGTGCTATCCTGCCTTCTCTTCTAGTCCAGCCCCTAACACTGCATGGTTATAAATACTAACACCAGCCACTGGGTTGCTTGCTGTCTGTCCCTGTAGAGATGGCCTATATTCTCCCTTGAGCACGTATTCCTTGCTTTACCCCTAGGGCATCTCATCTCTCTTTTGAGATTGTTCCCCCCACACACACACACACACACTGAATGTGTCTCTACTTTCCTAAATAAAACTCGGTCTATACTTTTGGAAGGGGGGTTGGTTGGGACACCAGTGTTACTAGAGGATGATGATTTTTCTCCAACATGATTTCATTCTTCCCTTTGCTTGAAATCCACAGCTTAACAGGATCCAGGGATCCTTGTAAGGAAATTCCCTCTGTTGGTTCTTTCAACAAAGGCAGGGGAAGAGGAGGCTGACAATAATCACACCTGCTTCCTGGTGTGACTGGGAGGCTCAAGTCACGTGCCTGACATGGCAGCCAACTCTCAGGGGAAAATTGTTGCTACTGATGACACTAAACCACACAAATTTTAGATGTGTGTAAAAAACAAGGTTGCCTAGAGACCCGTATTCTAAAAGAGGAAACCAAGGAGGAAGAAAGAGCTCCAGCTGCCTGAGCTTTACTGATGTGTGGCTGACATGGTATTGTGGCGCTTCTCCAGCCAGCCCTGCAATGGAAGCTGGGGTCATCCTGGGGACATAGCTTGATGCTGCTGGGAGCCATGCTAGATGATGCTCAAGTCTTTCAGTGCAAGGATTTGGATAGAACTCATGAGCCAAGAGTTCTATATTTCTCAGTTTTAGAGTCTACCCAAACCCCTCTGGAATGAGTCTGTACATTTTTTTGTTTGTTTATTGAGGAAATATATCTTGAGTATGCCAATTACCCTTCTAGTCACTGGGGTACAGATGGGAATAACACAAAGTCCTTGTTCTCATGCAGATTGCCACTAAATATGTCATAAATCAACGAGACACCAACTGATGAAAGCGTTTTTCTTTTAATTCTCATTCACTACAGTAACAGATACCCCAAGCCTACAGACCTTGAAGTTTTTACATCCACATATTTTCTGGAGACCTGTTGCAAAGTGGGGACTATTTGCAACATTTTTGCATTTCGTTAAGGTCAACATGGTAAATTCCAATATGGAGGTCTGCCTTATGAGTGTGGACACACGTTCCAGTAATGTATAATTTAAGGAATAAACAAATGATAAGAGCGTGACAGCAATCATGGATTCTGGCAGAAGTTTGGTAAGGGATTTGTGTTCTCAATACAAATATAATAGAGCCAGTCTCTTGGGGAGGGTATGTGTGTGTGTGTGTGTGTGTGTGTGTGCGCGCGCGCATGTGTTTATAAGAATAGAGGTATTGTTTGTCAATTATATCTGCTTCTTGTTAAATCAATAAAATAGAGTGGGTTTTAGGAGACTGCGAATGAAATGCATGTAGGCACCCACTGTATGCTCAGTTGCATCATATACCACATATGGTACACATGGCAATGCCAGAAAGTTCCAGGCCTTCAAGGGTTGTACTTCCCCAGAATCTGCTGTAACATCACAGTTTCTCGAGGCAACCAGGTCACAGCTGTCGCTCAATAAAGACACCTTCTTTTAAAAACACCAATGTTAACTGAAACGAAAGGAACGTCTCCTTGCGCCCTTGGTAGCCCGGTCCTCCAGGCGCTCGCGGTCACACACGCTGGGGTGGCACGCCCGAGTCACCGTCCTCGCCGCCCTCCCGCAGCCAACTGGCAGCAGAAATACAGGGAACCCCATTGGGTAAAGAGGAAGGGACCCGCCGCGGCCCCTCCGTGCTCTGGCCGCGCACGCCACGGGGCCACGCCCAGCTCCCCCGGCGGTGCTCTCCACGGCAACCGGCGCTTGGCAACCGCTCCCCGGCACCGCGCGACCGCCACACCCCATCCACCTCGCCCCGCCCCGCGTCGCTGCGTCACGATGGGCGTGTGCGTCATCGTGGCGCGCCGGAAGTGATTGACGTTTTCATCAGAGACCCCGGAAGTGGCGTCGTCAGTGTTTGGTTGCTGGCGCTGACTCCGGCGTTGCGATGGGTTGCGACGGGGGTACAATCCCCAAGCGGCATGAACTGGTCAAGGGGCCGAAGAAGGTTGAGAAGGTAAGCGGTGTGGGCCCGGAGGCGCCCGCGAGCGGTGGGACTCTCGGAAGGGCCTGGGAGCGAGAGGAGGTTGACGGGGAGCCGCGGGTTCCAGACCGCCAGCTGCGCTCCTGTGCCCTGTTTGAGGGATTCAGAACTGACAGCAGCATTGAAAGTAGCACTTATTGAGTGCTTGCTGTTTCCCTTCACTGGGCAGTACGCCAACTTACGGTGTCGTGATTCTCACAGCAGCCCAACGAGTACGTGCTGTCTTCCCCATTTTTAGACGTGGCAGTTGAGGCTCAAATGGAAAAGGTGCAGAGCTAAGTGGCAGAGTCAGGATTCCAATCCCATCTGCGGTTAGTAGCGATGATTCAAATAGCCACTATTTATTGAGCTTTGTATGCATTTACTTCGTTTCCTCAGAAGTCTTCCCTAGCTGTACCCTTACCCCATAAAATCAAGTCCTTCTCTTTTAAACTATTTTATCACACTGAATTATGCGTCTATGATTGATTTACGTCCTCCCCCACCACACTGTGAACCCCTCGTGACCGCAACTGCACCCATTTGTCCTCTAGAGCTAACAGAGTTTCTGGTAAGTTACTATTTTGAATACCTGAGTGAGTGAAAAAATAATCTAATTTTCACAAGTATTGGAGCAAATTATATGTAATAATTGTTATGCTAATTATGGGGAATTTGAGTCCTGGGAAGTTAATGAAAGTGATTACAGTCACATACTAGTAGGTAGTGAAGCGAAGATTATCATTCAGTTATTCAAGATTTCAAAAGTCAGCATTCGTAATGACTTTTCTTTGATATCATAAGATATGTAAATTGTGTACCACAGTGCCTGGCACATGTGTAGACTCCTTATATTCTTATTCAAAATTCAGAGAAGTTTTTTAAAAGATAAATCCCATATGTCAATATGGTATTTGAAACACGCTGGTGGGTCCCATCATGTTCAGAATAAAATCCTATCAAACTGTGTGAACAGACCCCTGCCTATTTTTTACCTCATTGGCCCTCTCCATTCGTTTTCATTTTGTTTCAGCTACACAGGGCTTTTTTCCTCAGCCCAGGTTATTGCATTACCCTGAAAGCTTCTTCACTAGGTAATGACATCATTTGTTTCTTCATCCAGTTCTTTGCTCCACAGGTTATCAGAACTGAGTGGGGTAGAGTAACCTCAAATTTACAACAGTTGGTCAGAAGCATAGGTAACAATGTGGACTTGTGATTAGCATCTAAAGCGAGAAGGGCAGTCTTGTGGGACTGAGCTATTAACCTGTGGAATCTGAGGCTGGATTCAGGTAGACACTGTCAGACTTGAGTTGAATGGTAGGCCACCCAAGCAGGGTAGAGGAATCAGTTGGAGTGAAGGAAACCTCACACATTTGATACTAGAACCTCTGGAAGTATTGAGTATTGTGAATGAAAATATAAAAGAAAACAGTTGGTCTTTTTACACCGATGTGTGATGATTTATTACTTGTGGTGTGTTTGATCTGGTCCAAAACATTGCTCTAATTTGGGATGTTGCCCTAAAAAGAAGAGAGGCTTTGGAAAAACATTTTTCAGCAATTTGGAGGGAGGGACCAATTTTTTAAGTCCCTGGAGAAGGAGTAATTTGTCACTTTTCTCCCCGTTCCCAACTTTCCAAAATGTTTTTTGAATCAGTAAAGGACTGTGGCTGAAGCGGGTAGGGGATCCAGATGGTAGATCCTAGGCTTGCTGAACATGGCTTTTTGAATCTGTGAAAAATGTAGATCTACTTCATTATGCAGATCTCTCTCTCTTTGGGATTTTCCAGTATGAATATTGATTTAAAAAAACTATTTAAGCTGCCAGATCTGTGGCTTTTGAATCCGAGGAATGAATAGAATAGCAATTACAATAGTTTTTGTTTTAAATAATAGAGTGGTGATTAAGAACATGGTATTTATGGGTGCGGAGGTACATGGCTGTAGTCCCAACTACTTGGGAGGTGGAAGAAGGAGGATCTCTTGATCCCAGGCATTCAAGGCCAGCCTGGGCAAATTGTGAGACCCCATCTCAAAAAAAAAAAAAAAAGGCTGGCACAATGGCACAGCCCTGTGATCCCAGCAGATCTGATTGGGAGGCTGAGACCAAAGAATCATGAGTTTAAAGCCAGCCTCAGCAAAATCGAGGCACTAAGCAACTCAATGAGACCCTGTCTCTAAATAAAATACAAAATAGGGCTGGAGAGGTGGCTCAGTGGTTGAGTGGCCTTCAGTTCAATCTCTGGTACAAAGAGGGAAAAAAAAAAAGTGGTGTCTAGAGCCAGTCGCCCTGGGTTATTATCCTAGTTTCTTCATTTGCTGCATGACCTTGAACATGTCACCTAACTTGGTGCCTTGGTTTCTTATCTCCAGTGGTGAAAATACTAACTTGTAGGGCTTTTGTGAGGATTATAAGGGCTTGTCATGGCAACTGCTTAGCACAGTGCCTGGAACACAGGGCACTTAGGCAGTAGCTGCTGCAAATTTTAAAAATTAATTCCAGGGGATTTTTTTCTTTCTCTGTTGTCTCTAAATCATGCTGTTCTGTTATAGTATTTCAGTTTGCTGTTGTAAGAGTAAGGACAAGTGGGCCTTGGAGTATCATAGAGGTAAAAATGTAGTTTGAGGGCTATGGAGGGCTTTATGTCCTAGTTTTCAGATCATGGATGTTTTACTCCATTTTCTGTTGTTATAACAGAATACTCTCAAGATTGAGTAATTTATAAAAGAATTATTTTTTGTATTTCTTGGAGGTGGGAAGTCCAGTTGTCAAGTGACTGCATTTGGTAAGTCTCTTTCTTGCTCATGGATACTCTTAGCAGAGTCCTGAGGTGGCCCAGTGTTGCATTCCATGACTAAACACTCAAGGTCACTCTAGGTGAACTGGGCTGTACGAAATAACCACACAGCACACAGAAATACCTTTCTCTTTGGGTCCTGTGCAGACTCCTCCGACCTTAGGAGTCTATGTATGTGTGGCGGGGAGGGGCCGGGGGGAGAGAAACAGAGAGAGCTGAACCCTTTTATTGGGGAGAAGCCATTCAAATGAGGCAAGAGGTCAGGTTTCAAGTGGTTGAGTCTAGCTTCATGATGTCTGCTGTCAGCAGGTTGACTGATATCTAGAAAGGCTACGTCTAACAGAGAGCAGGAGAAGGGGACACACAAAGGGAGTTTCCATGGAACATTCTATCCCGAACAGGGCAAAAGGGTAGGATTACAAAGGAAACAGGTGAGTGTAACTCAACCCTAGGGGCACGCCCCTCAAAGAGAACCTCCTTGCTATCTGAGGGGTGGGGGAGACCAAGTCATGAGTCATGGCACTACCGTTCCAGGCTACGATGATTTTTCAGATCTGTGTGGTACATCAGGACTAAAGGCATGGTCACTCAATGTGGCTCCCCATAGCCCAGGGCACTATATACCAAGAGAGATGATACAAGAGACAGAGCCGAAACTGGCCTTTATAACAGATCCACTCTCATAATAACTTACTAACCCATCATTCATCCATGAATGGATTAAAATATATTCACTAGGGCAGAGTCTTCATGACCTAATCACTTCTGAAAAGATCCCACCTGGTTCCACCTCTTTTTTTTTAAATAGAGAGTGAAAGGGGGAGAGAGAGAATTTTTTTAATATTTATTTTTTTAGTTTTCAGCGGACACAACATCTTTGTTTGTATGTGGTGCTGAGGATCGAACCCGGGCCGCACGCATGCCAAGCGAGCACGCTACCGCTTGAGCCACATCCCCAGCCTGGTTCTGGTTCTACCTCTTAATACCTTTCAGTGGGGATTATAATTTAAACATGAGTCTGTGTGTGTGTGTGAGAGAGAGAGAGAGAGAGATTTTATTAGTGCTTTATAATTTATTCAGAATAGTGGGATTCATTGGAATATATACATACATGCACATATCATAATTTGGTCACTTACCTTGCTTAGTACCTCTCCTTTCCTTCTCTTCTTCCCTTCTCCAATCCCATTCTCTGTTCCACTGTTTTCCATTCTGGGTTTTTAAAAAATATTTTTAGTTATACTTGGACGCAGTGTCTTTATTTTGTTTATTTACTTTTATGTAGTGCTGAGGATCGAACCCAGTGCCTCACATGTGGGAGGCAAGCGCTTTACCATTGAGCCATAGCCTAGCCACCTTCCCTTCTGTTTTCATGAAATCCCCCCCCTCCCTCCACCTTCTATGTATGAGAGAAAACATACAACCCTTGACTTTCTGAGTCTGGCTTATTTCACTTAACATGATATTCTCTGGCTAAATCCATTTTCCTGCAGATGACATAATTTCATTCTTATGGCTGCATAAAACTTCATGTATATATGCCACATTTTCTTTATCCTTTTATCTGCTATTGGATGCAGAGGCTGATTCCATAATTTGGCTATTGTGAATTGTGCTCCTTTAAACATAGGTATGTGACTATCACTATAGTATACTGACTATAGTTCTTTTGGATAAATACTGAGGAGTCGTATAGCAGGGTCATATGATGGTCCCATTCCTAGTCTTTTGAGGCATCTCCATACTGGTTTCCATAATGGCTCTACAATTTGCAGTCCCACCAACAATGTAAAAGTGTTCCTTTTCCCACACATCCGTACCAGTATTTATTATTTGTATTTTTGATGAATGCCATTCTAAATGGAGTGAGATAAAATCTCAGTGGAGTTTTTAATTTGCGTTTTCCTGATTGCTGGGGATTCAACATGAGTTCTGATGGAGACATTCAAACCATAGCAGTGGATAAATAGATTAATAAGCAAAAACTACTTGTTTTTGTTCAACTGGTGATTATGTAAAAAATTACATAGTCTTTGTAGTGAACCTTTTTTTTAAAAAATGTCTGTGTTCTCAGTTTTTAGTCTCTAAATTCTGCTACTGCTTTGGAGTCTTTCCAGTTGTAGAAATTTATCTGTACTAGTTGTTTTTTTCCACATGGTCTTTCCAGTGTACTTTTGAGATGAAAATATTAATATTTGTTACTTGCATAAACAGTATAATGATGTGATGTAAACTTTCTTGTATCGTGTTTAGATAGACCTTTATTTGACATAGTATTAGGACTTTTAAAGTCCCATTTCATGTTCTTTAATTTAAAAAAATCATTATCTTTGATTTAAAAATGAGAACATAGTGTGGCATTATTAAATGAACTTTCATATGTGGAACCATCTCTCCTGTGACTTTTAGAGGTGATGTTAACTCAGAGGGTTTCTGTTTTCTTTTGCCAGGTTGACAAAGATGCTGAATTAGTGGCCCAGTGGAACTATTGTACTCTAAGTCAGGAGATACTGAAACGACCAGTAGTTGCCTGTGAACTTGGCAGGTATGGTTTCTTGCTTCATCAAGATGAGTTTATTCAATGATTTTGAGGAACACTTCATTATATAAATGTTCTCGAATAGTGAAATAGGAATTAATCCAAGCAAACTTACGAGGCATAGGTTATCATTCCCTGTCGCTGAACATAATTCTGCAATCTCCTAATCAATATGATATATTCAAACCATGATTTGAAAACTCAAGGACCAAGTTATAGTTATGCTAAATCATAAACAGAAAGCCCAAAGGAGCCTTGTGAGGTGGAGAATGGGGAAAACTGGAGAGATCATATCCTATAAAGGAGGAGCTGCTACTCAGTTCCAGCCAATTTTTATAGTTCGAGAACATGGGTCTGGTCATTGTAAGCTTCTGATTTTTATTTTTGAAGATAAGTTGAAAATATGTACTTTTATACTAAATCTCACAATTTCTATAATTCTTGTTTGGGTTATATTCAACCCTTAAGAATGCCAGTTTGCCATCCTTGACTTGTGTTTCTTTTTAAACTCTGATAGTATTTGAAACATGGTGAAATATACAATATACTTTTTGGTAATGCAGAGCATTTCCTTTATCAAATGTAATGCTTTTGGGGTTGCACTAAATTTGTTCTTCTTTTGTTGGTTTTCTTGAAAGTTGATTATTGCCCTCATAGTTTGACTAGTTCTTATTCTTGCAGACTTTATAACAAAGATGCTGTCATTGAGTTTCTTTTGGACAAATCTGCTGAAAAGGCTCTTGGGAAGGCAGCATCTCACATTAAAAGCATTAAGGTAAGAAGAGTGACTCTGGAGTGCTCCTGGGGTCTCAGTGTAACGAGGTTTATTTTATGGAATTCATGTACATGAGAGTAAATTTAGAAATTTGAGAATATAGTCACAACCCACCATTACAGTATGGCTGTTCTTGGGAGGTCTTGTAAATCTCAAGTCTGGAGTCCCCCCCCTCCCCCGCCTCCATGTACTTTCTGTCTTAGAAATCTATTGTGCTTTCATGTGAATGAAAATCCTTTGAAAATTCTTAATGTCTTGTAAACTTGTTGGGAAGCATTATTTTTGTAATTGAGATTCAGGTATTTGAAGGCTAGGGATATAGTTCAGAAGCAGAGCCCTTGATAACATGCATGAAGTCTTGGGTTTGATTCTCAGCACTGAAAAAAAAAGGACTCAGTGACTTGAATTTTATTATTATTATTATTATTTTAAATATTTTCTTAGTTGTAGTTGGACACAATATCCTCATTTATTTTTATATGGTTCTGAGGATCAAACCCAGTGCCTCACATGTTCACGGCAGGCACTTTACCACTGAGCTACAGCCCCAGCCCCAGCGACTTGAATTTTAAATTTGGAATCTATTTTCATACAATGACAAAATTTTCAAAGTATGTGTGTTTTTATATTAAAAGTTCAGCTATATATTAGAAGTTCTGATTGGCAAGTTAAAATTCTTCCATTATAGTGGATAAACAAGTTTTTTAGTAAAGGAATTTGTTGAAAGGACAGAATCATTCAAATTTGGTCCATAGAGGAAATCAGACAATTAAGAATTTATTATACCCCTCATCTCAAAAAGACTTCCTTTAGTTCACATGGCTAGTCTGTAAGATGCTTAAATTAGAACTCCTTCCCCTGACTCCCAGTCTGTCTTTAGGATTTTTCTTTTTACTTTTTTTATTATGATACTAAGCTTTTCATTTGAATTCTCAGAGTGATTACAGGATATGCTCACTTTAGGCAGGTTAATAATTCTGAAATGTAGCTAATGGTGGTGCTATAGAAATTGCTGTGCTGATTTTAGTTACTCTTCTACTTTGGGAAGAGAATTAATTCCTGAAAACCCCATGGTATCACAAATTATCTTGCCTCAAAAATTCAGTTATATTGAAATTAATTCACATAATTCTATACTTAAAAACAAAATGTTTAGTTTTATATATAGCTGAACCTTTAATGTAAAAACACACATACTTACATACACTCTGATTTCTTAGAGAAATCAGAGCAGCAAAGAAAAAGAATTCAAGTGAAATAATGCAGATACACAAGATTATCACTGCAGCCCACAAATACTCTGAGCAGCTCTTGCCCAGGAAGATGAGCAGTGGCTTTCCTTCTGAGGCACTTAGCTGCTCCTCAGAGTGTTAAAATCAAAAGAGGAAGAAATGCCTTGAATGCTGCAGTGGAGCCGTGGCATCAAACCACCTATCAAGCTGCATTCTGGAAAGCCCGATATTGGTGTGTTGAAATACAGTATAGCAGTATTCTGTCTTAGACTCACTAGGTGCTGGCCCACAGATTTTATTGACTCTTCAATCATTATATAAATATGGATGGTCAGTAATATGGAGCAGACTCAGCGGGAAGAGAAGTATTCCTTATTAAAGTGCAGTAATTTCTTCCTCCCTTTCTCCCTTTCTTTGAGTGCTGGGGATTAAATATAGGGCCTTATGCATGTGAGGCAAGTGCTCTACCACTAAGATACACCCTCAGTCTTCTGTGCAGTAATTTTTGGTGTGAGAAGATCCTTTTCCTTAAATACTCACAAAATAGAAATTACTCAACAAATTTACAGATGGTTTTTTAGTTAGGATGATTTGACTTATGATTTTTTGACTTTATATTGGTGCAGATAATAGACATTCAGTGGAAATCCTGCTTGGCATTTTGACTTCTGGTCTTTTCCCAGGCTAGCGATAGGTATGCGCTATCCCTGGTGGTACTGGCCAACGACATCGAGCAGCTCCCCATCTGCCTTGTGCCCATGATGGTGAAGAGCCAGTGCTCTAGTGCACTGTGTTGCTAAGCTATGGTGCTGGTTAGGGGAGGTGTGTTCAGTGCGTTTTCCCCTTACCCCGAGTTCACCAGGACATGACCCCATAATAAATGGAGCATCTGTACTTGGTAGTCTGTGAATTTTTAAAATCCTGCTTTCTATACAGTTTATGATTTAATATTTTATCTGTGATTCTTGGTGGTCAAAGGAAGCATCTATGGAAGAGAGGTTTGGCTTGGGAGGGATGAGAATAACAGTTTCTCTGTTAATTTAGGGGGTTTTTAAGGCAAAGAATGATCCATTTACCAAATGCATTCTTAGAATGTTAATGACTTTTCTCAGAACGTGACAGAACTAAAGCTTTCTGATAATCCTGCCTGGGGAGGAGACAGAGGAAACACGAAAGGCGACAGGCACGATGACCTCCAGCGAGCACGTTTCATCTGCCCCGTGGTGGGCCTGGAGATGAACGGCCGACACAGGTGAGTGGGGGCTGGCCCAATGGTGGGCCTTGCTCTCTCCTTTCCAGCCATCTTCTCTGACCACGTCTGCTTAGCTGTGCTGTCTGTGGCTCTCTGCTCTTGATAGAGGAAAACCTAAAGTAAAGTGGAACTGGAGAAATTCTCTTGGGACATAAGACCAGAGTTTGGCTATTTGGTTGTCTTTTCCTAAGGGACAGAAGGGGCAAGTTTCCCTTGAAACAACACCTATTCCTCAATGTTACTAAATGTATGCAGTGGCAAACATTGTTACGAGACTGAAGGCCCAGCTGGTAACACTAACTTGCTTTGAGTTTATTTAGCTAACACATCCTCTGACTTGAGCCTCAGAAATCTTGGGGTTGAGATTTATATAACAAATATAAATGAACTATACATTTTCCTCATTTAAAAATAGAAACGTTGAATGGGTTAATAGGTGTCTTTGTATAAGATGTCTCACAAGCAGAATCATTAAGCCCCTTACCCACCATATAGAAGTATCTTTAATAACAGGTAGTCCAGACTGCCCTCTGGAGTCTTCTGTCTCTACATGACATATTTGAAAGGTAGCATTTTTGCCTGTTTTCATTTAGGAAAGGGAAAAGCATCTTAGTTAAGTAAAAAACTTTGTTGCTCATGAGCAGCTGCCTTTACTCTCAGGTGTCCTGGCACTGTGTGTTCATTCACATAACAAACACATCAGGACCACTTCCCATGTGCCAGGCAGTGTGCTGAATGTGCCAGAGAGACTGACCTCCATGCTCTGGATGGCCCAGAGCTTTGTGGACTTGGAGAGAAGTAACATATAAGGCCCAAGGAACCTTTGCTTTTGAAGATTATCTTCTTCCAATAATCTGAATTTAAACCATTTAGCGTCTGTCTTGAACCTCACTGATTGGAACGAACAAAGAAATATTCTGGGGATCCTGACTCATTTTCCTAATCTTTTCTCACTTTCATGTATTTTTTATATATGCATGTACATATGTACATACACTGAAGTGAAAGTCACATACCATAAAATTGACCACTTTAAAGTATACATGTGCTGGGGTTGTGGCTTAGTGGTAGATCACTTGCCTAGCATGCATGAGGCATTGGGTTGGATCCCCAGCACCATATTAAAAAAAAAAAATAAAGTACACACGTAGTGTCATTTAATACATTCACACTGTCATGCAGTCACTACCTCTATCTAATTCCAAAATATTTTTTATCACCCTGGGAGAAAAATCCATACCTGCTGAGCAGCCACTCTGCCCCCAGCAGCTACCAGTCTGCTTTCTGTCTCAGTGTATTTACCTGTCTGTTCTGGTTATTTCATACACATAGAATCATAAAATATTATGACCTTTTATGTCTGATTTCCCACTTCTTTTTAAGAAAACTGTAGTTCAGCCCTGAAGAGGAACTTGCCAGAAGACAAAGCTTAGTGGCAGGGCTTTGAGTGGGAGCTACCTACAGCCTGTGGCTGTGACTGTGGCTCCCCTGGTTCCTTCCCTTTTCTTCTGCAGGTTAATCTCTTTTCCTTTTCTCTTCTAAGTTACTTGAGTTGTGCCTGCTTTGGCTTTTGTCCTGATTAATAGAGCCTCTGCACTAGAAAATTTTTTGATGAATTGATATACGTAATAAAGATTATACAAAGACTTAAATATACGGAGAAATAGAAATAAATTTCTAGTATAGTAAAACACTGGATCTTTGTTTAAAGAAAAGTAATTTCCTAATATGTAATAATTGATAATCATCCATAAGACTTTTTTTTCATCCTAAATAGCATTTCATTAATTTACTGCCATTTTGTTTATTGGATTTTTGTCAGGGTGGTCTGCTTCTGCTACAATCCCTGGGATATTGGTGAAAATTTCTGTTGTGCATTTGTAAGGGGCTGTGTAAAGTAAAGTGTGGAAGTGCTTTCTGCTCCTCCAGTCCTACCTTTAGGGGTTATGCTGTAAGTTTTCTGGCATTTACTGTCCCCTCCTTCACATCACACCCACATCCCACTTCTCTACTCCTCTTCAAACATCCCTGTGAGTAAACACGGATTCTTCCACATGATCATGGGGTCCTGTTATGCATATTTTGTAATCTCTTCTTTTTCCACTTCCCTGTCTGATCTGAACATGTTTCATGGCCTGGAATACCAGTTTGCTTTACTCTTAATAGTTCTGTGGGTATTCATCCTTAATTTAACTATTCATTCCCCACTGATGAGTACTGGAGTGGTTTCCTTCTCTTCTTTGTTACAGACAGTACCGTACTTCACTGTGTGACACAAATACGTTTCAACATTTGTGTACTTGGGACATGTTTCTGTACAAGCACATTTCTTTATTCTTCTCTTTTTTCACGGTATTGGGAGTTGAACCCAGTGCCTTTGCATGTTCTAAGTGAGTGCTCTACCATGAAGCCACACCCCAGCCCTGGAAGAAATTTTTAAAGTGATTCTTTAGTTGCTATGACCAAATTATCTTCCTGAAAAGTTGTGCCCACCTACCAACAAATGTACCTCTGTCCTCAGATGGTTTCCACTGAATATCCTTTAATTCGTTAACCATCGCCTGATAATATTACATATTGTGAATTTGAAATGTGTTTCCTTAACATTTGAGGTTAACCATTTTTTCATGTTCTTTTCTTAATATTTCTTTTGTGAATTTAATATTTCTTTTTTGTGTTAATGCCCTTTTCTCAGTTTTCTATTGTACTTTTATTGCTTGTTAAGGTCCCTTCAAATAGTAATAAAATAAGCTCTGAACCTCATATATAGTTAAAACATCTTCTCCCTTAGTGCCTATTTTGTCTTTTAATGTGTTTATGGTTTTAGTTTCAATTTTTTAAAAAAATTTTGGACATACTTCTTTTAATAGGATAAATTTATCTTTGTGATTCTTGTCGTTGTGTAAATGAAAAGCTAATTGATAATGTAATCACTAATTTTTAGTTCTTGTCTAAGCTATTCTCCATGTTGGACTCTTTCTCTAGGTTTTGCTTCCTTCGATGCTGTGGTTGTGTGTTTTCCGAACGTGCCTTGAAAGAGATAAAAGCAGAAGTTTGCCACACAGTGAGTTCTTGCCATATTCTACTTACTCCCTTTAGTAGCTGAGGAAATCAGATGTTTGAGGTCTCTCCCTCTGCTTTTCATTTATGGATCCTTAAATTCTTTCTGAAACAGATCTGATAAGTTGCTTCTCTGCTTAAAACTCTGCTGTGTCTCTTTTTTTTTTTTTTTGGTGAAAGTACAGACTCACCAGCTTCTTGTGACCTGATGTAACCAGCCTGTGCAGGTCAGCTCTGGGCTGTTCCTGGATGTGCCACTCTCTCCTGGGCCTGCATTCCCTCTACTCTGACCTGCCAGCCTGGAGAGGCCCTGCTCCCCCTGAGCCTTGGATTCAGTTCTTACTTCCGTGGTGAATTTTTGTTGCTAGTCCTCTTTCCACTTTCCTTGGTACTGTGTTACTCCACTGACCTCATCATGATGCAATGTGTATTTATGTGTGTGTTTTTGGACCATGAATTTTTGAAGGTGGGAACAAAATGGGTTCATTTTCTGATCTCCGGGGCTTGTTCCCTCTAGGGCATATCCTCCACAAACACTCACATGAATGAGCAAATGCCTTGGTGTGACAGCTAGCCTTCTCAGCTCACACAAAGGAAATACTTATGATGTTGCTTCTATAGAGTTGTGTTACCAAAGCCCCAAACCCCCATGTCTTTGGTGTTCTTCTGGCCTTGGAAAGCCTGGCATTTAGTTTGGTGTTATGGATGCCTGCAGCTTCTGACTGTATACCTGTATTAACTGGATTTCATTAGACCTGTATTATTTCCCCATGTTGTGGATGATTCTCGGCCAGTAGCTTTCATGAAGCACTTGTCATGGGGGCAGCCATGCCCTAGGTACCTATTGGTGGCATATTCTGGAAGAAAAAAATCCTTGAGGGTCCTGCCCTTGGGCATCCCACTCCAGCTGGAGAGAGAGACACTCAATAAAGGAGCAAGACTGTATGGGCTGTGATGGATGCTTGGAAGGAAGCATTCAAGGCAGTGACGGGGAGAGACTGCACTAGTGGAGGTCAGGAAGGCATCTCTGGAGGTTTGACCAAAACTAGAGGGAAAGAGGAGTCAGCCGTGCACACTTGAAAGCAACCTCTTTGGCAGCAGGAATAGCATGTTAGCAGCTCAGAGTGACAGAGGACTTTGCTAGTTCAGGGAATAGAAAGTGTGGCCAGGGTGGAGGGCAGAAGAGGAGAAGTAGGTGAGATTGGAAGGTTAAGAGGGGTCACTTATACAGGGCCAGGGTGGCTACATTGTGTTTATGGATTTTATTCTAAGGTCACTGAAAAGCTAGAGGGCAGCTTTAACCCAGATATACTTTAGATTTAAAATTATTCCCTCTGCTAAAGAAGCTGGACATGGAAGAGGACATCTTTGGTGATTCATTTATAGAGCTCAGGCAGGTAAAAGGTAATTGGTGGTGCAGAAGTCAGTGGAGGGCATTTGGGGTGACTATGAATGAAGCCTTCATAGAATTTGGAAACTCTTATTAAGCTTTATTTTTTTTTTAAAAAAAGAATTGATTATGTAGTTTAATTGGCAGTATTTATAGTGTCTCCTGTTGGAAGACAATGTTACTAGTGTTGCAAGGGAAAACAAGATTTAGATGACAGGCCCTATGCTCAGGGAGGCTGCAGTCCTACAGGAATCATAAGTTACATGAACTATCTTGTTCCATTTTATTCTTTGAGGCCAAATTCCAACATGGTAAAGGTGTTTTTGATGTTCAGGGGCCAGAGCACTTTCTTATGGCGGTGCTCTGGTGGGAAGTGGCTACATGAATGGGTAAGCATTTGTTCCGGGCCTAGAAGGAAGAGTGTGTATGTCATGGGACCAACTCTCCAAGGAGAGCATGATTGCTAGACATAGAGATGTTGCTTTGAGGTGATCCACAGACAGGGTGTCAAACATCTCTGTAGAACATCACTGAGTGAGATGCTGATAATTTGGCAGCACTTCTGCAGACCTGCTTGGGTGAAGGAAGAAAGTCTCCTTGGTCATAGTATTTTTTATTACCTTTCTTAATATTTGCTTACTGCCTCAGAAAGAGTAAGCTTAAGCTCAGAGCCATTTCTGCCAAACTCTGTTGAGGGGAAGAGCAATGACACATCTTCTGGAGCTGCAGCAAATCATGCGGATGTCACTGAAGGGAAATAAAGCCACAGTGTCAGGAACCAAGACAAGTGTTTTCATTTTTTAGATAATGTCTGAAATATAGAGAAGTCACTGACATTAGAACAATGTCAGGAGCCTCAAGGGTATTTAGGGCATGTGTTTTCTCTACTTTTTGGCAGGCGGACTACTAGGGGTTGAACACAAGGGTGCTTGACCCTTTTTATTTTTTAAGACAGGGTCTTACTACATTGCTCGGGCTAAGTGCTGAGGCTAGCCTTGAACTTGCAATCCTCCTGCCTCAGCCCCTCGCTGCTGGGATCACAGGTGTGCATGTCTGTGGTTTCACTGACATTGGACTTTTCAGCTCACTAGAAGAGATTAAAGGGTTTGAAATAGCCTTGGTCCCATGTTGGAAAACACATGGTGTGTGCACTTGATTTCAGTTAACAGGATCCAGACAGATACAGTTGCTAGGGTTTTTGTTTTGTTTTATTTTTACTGTAAACAAATCAGTAGCCAAAAAATTAATTGTATTCCCTACTGTGTTCTTCACTTCTTGTAAGAAGCAGCAGCAATTGGAGTAATTATGGGATGCTTGTTACTTAGAGCACGATCCATAGATCTGTGATATTAGCATCACCTGAGAGTTTGTTTGATTTTTTAAGAAATGCAGAATTTCAGCCCTAATTCAGACCTGTTGAAATAGAATTTGCACTTTGAGAAGATTGCCAGATGATTTGTATGCATAGTAGTAAAATGTGAAAAGTGCTGCTGAGCAGATGTTAGGGGTATGATAAGTAGTTTTTGGCTTGCTAACTTTCTGGCTTTGTATATTTGGGCTTTCTAGGGGGGTGAATGGGATTTGTGGTTGTTTTAAAATAAGAAGTAAAACTATGGGTGCTGATGTTGTCTTTTTGCATTCATTTTATGAAGTAAGTGGAGTGGAAAGGGAAAGATTACTTAGAAAAAGAAATATTTTCAAAATTGGTCTCCTAATTCTAATTCCCAGACCCTGGCCTCTTCCAGGTTAAGATTTCTGCAATTTCTGTGGTCTTGATGAATGTTCAGCCTCGGGGAATCACATAATATATGGCCTTGCCAATGTATTTCAGACATTTTTTTTTTTTTTTTTTTACTTATGATTTAATTTTGTCCTTTTACTTTACAAATGAGTACACATAGAGTCTGGTTCAGTATAGAGCAAGCATTGGCTTCTTCTTGGTTTGATACTAACAGGCTGCCACTTGCCTGGCCTCTTAGCCTTCCATAGTCAGAGTGGCCATCTGTCTCTCACCCTGTTCATCCATTTCCTCCCCCAAAACTCCACCAGAGCTCAGGTCCCAAGCTGCTTTGTTGCACTGTCTCTTATGTTAGTTTCTTACTTTTATAGTTTAGGGAGCTATGTTTGTGATAGTATCGGAGCTTGCAGGGCAGGGGCAGTCTGTAACCCTTCCAATGAGGGCACAGACCTCATGGAGTTGAGTGATGGCCTGGGCTCTGCAGCCAGACTGCTTGCCTGCTCCAGTGCCAGCTTCCGAGCCCAGTGATCCTGGGAAGGTTTCATTGCCTGCCTGTGCCCCAGTTTCCTGCTCTGCGAAAGCATTAGATGTTATTCTGAGTGCTGCTTCTATGATAACACATTCGATCCTCACAGTAGCCCTGGTGGTAGTTATTCTGATGTATCAGGTCACTCCTCATAGTGTATGACTGTGCTAAGGATTGACACTGAAATGGAGTGAAGGCAGTGCCTTAGGCCTGGCTCTGTCACGGTAGCCCTGCACCATACACCCATGTTTCAAGTACATTGAAAAGACTTTAAGTTTCTTTTTTTTTTTTTTAAATGTGGCTTGCATCCAGTCACTACTGAGTTTTTATAAAATGCAGAGCACATGATTATGGTGAAGCCAGGCAGTCAGAATGTCTCAGTTCGTACCTTTGAGAATGCTGTTTACCTGGAAGACTGAAGCAAAATGGTGGTGTGCTACAGGAGACTCCTGTTGTCTTTCTGGTACTGCTGATGTTTTCTGTGCGTTTTCAGGGGAAGAAATGTTCATTTAAATCAAGATCTTCCTGTTCTGTGGTTCGCTTAAATTTGGCCTGTGGTGCTTGCCTTCAGAACCTCTCTTCCTCTCCTTAGCTTCCTGCCTCTCCAGGGCTGTGATTTTATTTGTGTGTGTGGGAAGGTTGTTTATTGAGGTGCTTGCAGTTTGCCTTTGAAATATGTTCACTTCTTTAGTTTCCTCCTGCTTTTCCTTTTTTAGTTGTTTTATGCTGTGTTCTTTAGTGGCTGTATACTTCAATCCTGTGTGATACCACGAACACTTTTAGAGAAAGTTTTCAACTAGTGTGTATAAAATTCTCAGTGACAGCAGCAACAATAAAACAGGGACCCTGCGAGGGAGGAGAGCTGGATCTGTGGCTGGAGGTAGTTCAGACCATCGGTGCCTTAGGCCTGGCTCTGTCATGGTAGCCCTGCACCACACGTGTATATAGTATCTGAAGTTAAATTAATTAAAAATATAAAAGTTAAAAATCAAGATTCACTGCCTCTGTCTTTCTCACCACATTTTCATCGTCCAGCGTCCCCTACAGCTTTGGTAGTGTTGGACACTCAGGTGTTTCCACTCCACATGGACCTATTTGACCCAGAGAAATTAATGATTGGGTATTTTTCTAGGGTTCTCCAGAATAAGGTTATATTGTTCTTAGCCAATAAGGACAACTTTAGATAAACATGTTTTCATTTTCAGTGGGAGCTTGTGCGTTATTGTCTCTATACAAGAGTTTCAGGCCCTCAGAACAAGATGTGTTGCTCTTAGCTCCAGCTTGAACCTGGATCTCAGCATTTGGAGAACCCAGGTTTTCAGCAACCATCTCCTGAAGCTGTCTGCCTCC